TATTTGTGTCCATCAAGTCTCATGTTTGTTGGTCTGAATGATCAATCTGACTTTGAGGTAATAATCTGAAGTTCATCTGAAAAACATATCTCTATGCCTGGCTGTCCATGGTGTGTGGTACATCTCAGATCTTCATAGAATCCCTACAGTGTGGAAGCAGGCCATTTGGCCCATCGAGTCCATACTGAATGTCTAAACTGCATCCCACCCAGACCTATCTTCTTACCCTATTCCTGTAACCCTGCATTTCCCATGGCTGGTTCACCCAGCCTGCATATCCTTGAACACTTTAGGCAATTTAGGCTGGCCAGTCCCCTTAACCTGCCCATCTTCTGTCTCCAGTGGGCACCGCAGAGGTTAGAGTGTGTCTTCAGTTCTGGGAACAACTTTGTAATTTGACCTTGTCAGCTTGCTTTTGAGTATCTGCGTTTAGTTACACTGCCCCTTTTAAGGGGCTGCCACTCATTTATTTAGTTTTTGTTTCATTGGTTTCCTAAAGAGAGTGAGAAACAAACTTACAATGTGTAAATACAGGGTTTGCAAATATTTGCAAATACAGGATCTGTCACGATCTCCGCATGCCCTGAAGTATTTTATGACCATCAAAGTGCTTCCTAGTTGTCAGTGTTATAATGGAGGGTTGCACATATGCTGTCTCAGGCAGTAAAAAAGATAAATGAGCAGATAATCTGTGTTCCATGTTGCTGGTTGAAGGGTAAATATTAGCCAGGAAACCGAGAAGAATTCTGACAACAGTGCTGCAAGGTATTTTATATCTAAAATACACTCTGATGGGAACTTGATGTACTATCTCAACCAAAAGATAGATTTCTCTCTAATACACTGGGAACTAGAGCAGCAGCTTATTTTGGGGTCTTTCTACTCTGTGTCAATAGTGCACACTGACTGTAGCCTCACGAGTAATCACCTCAGCAACATCATCTACTTAAATTGGTTTGACAATTATGTGCTAGTTTGCATTGAGCCCAGTTGTGCTGCACACAATTGTCCTGATTTGTTTAAATTGATTCCTAGTTTATAGTCTTGCTTACTAAGGTCAGAAAGGAAATGGCCGGTGTGGGAGCTAAAATGCGTTGCATGAGGCTGAGTTGCATAGCTGTAGCAGGTTTCATGACCTATGAACACTGCAACGTGTTTACAGTCAATGGAGTACTTTTGAAGTGCAATTAATAACTTAATTTAAGAAAGACAACAGCCAAATGTGCACAGCATGATCCCACGGACAGTAATGAGATTAAACATTTGATAAATGTCAGACAGGGTGCAAGGAGAACTCCTCCCTGCACATATTCAAATTATGTTGTAAAAGGTTTTTTATTAGCTGGTCGAGCTTTAGTTTGGTACAGGGCTTCCCAAAAGGTAGGCCACAGGCCCAGTGGGGTTGTGATTGAGGCTATGGAGTTATGAGCTCCAAGGTAGCAACGGTTGCCATAAAGCTCTCTGACTGGTTGTCCACAGTTGGGAGGTTCCTTTAAATCCTTGCATTTTTAAAAAAGGAGGAATGGTGGGTGTGGATCGTGTGTTTTTTGTTGAAAACGGATTCCTATTCTACCGAACTCAGTAAAAAGTTTAATTTTTGAAGACTACTAAAGTTTTACACTCCCCTGCCATCAGTTCTCAGCGAGGGGTTGCAGCAATTTTCAAGCCTTGAAATGAGATAGCAGTGGAGGGGAGGGGAAAAAAATTGGAAGGGCTAGTTTGATGTCTCATGCAAAGAACAACAGCTCCCAGTAATGCAGCACTCCCTCAGTACTGCACTGGAGTGCCATTTAGACTGTATGCATGATTCTCTGGCATGAACCTTGTGTCCCTGACGCTCCCAACTAACCATGGCTGAAACCTTTAAGGAGCAGATTGAGATGCATCTCCAAACATGGACCACTTTTGTCATAGGGAAGTGATGAAGGGCCTGCTTATAAGACCAATGTGAAACAGGGAAGCTGGTGACACTTTAGACCAAAGGCTGTATTTTTGGAATCAGTGGTGGCTTTTTCCAAAAGAGCAAATGTGGTCTCTCCTGATTGGCATCTGTGCCTTTGAGGGAACATGCTATCTATGCAGTGCCCTTGTCGGGGTGGAGCTAGACTTGCAGGACAAAGTAGGATGCTGTGCGGCAACAAAATGCGATAAGATTAATGGCACATTTTAATCCCCTCTATCTCCCTCACGCAGTTAATGCTGACAGTTTAAAAATACATATTTAACAATGATGGGAATCGAGCTGTTTTGGGACTGGCAAGTCTTCAATGCTGTTCTCTGAATGTCTCCCTGTGTTTTTTTTGTACAGTTTACTGGCTGATATTTCTCAAGCTTGGGTTTGGTTGACTGCTGGTAACTTCCAGCCAGCTATTCTCCAACCAAAGCTCCAGGCAATGAATGTTGGGAAGTTGTTGGACCATGGCATGTGGGGGTAGGGCAGGAGGGGGTTACAGTCTAAACATGCGTTTTCACCTTCTGGTCATGCTCCTCTACCTCTGTCCATCTGACTGTCCTTTTCTTTCTCTCTCTCTCTGTCTATCCTGTTTTGTCTCATCATGCCTCTCCGATTGGTTTTATGTCTCTCAAGCAACTACAGTATTCAGAACATCCCAGATTTTCTCTTGAGTAAGGTCCAAATGTTAACCCAAGTATCAAAGGAAATGCAGATAACAGCTGCCTATATGACCAGTAGCTTTTGTGCAAGAAATGTGTGAGGAATGCCTTCTAATCTCACTGAATGTGTTGAGTAGTTAGGACATGGAAATGTAGAGTTAAGGGTTAGTGCACAAAATAGTAATGTAAATTGTCTGCTACATGAGCATCTGAGAGGTCACATTGAGTCATCCAGGAAACAGACCCTTCAGTCCAACTCATCCGTGCTGACCATATTCCCAAACTAAACTAGTCCCACTGGCCTGTGCTTGGCCCATATCCCTCTAAACATTTCCTATTCATGTACCTTTCCAAATGTCTTTTAAACGATTAGATTTATTGTCACGTGTACCAGAATAGGGTGAAAAGTGCAAAGATTCAGCACTTTCTGGCGCCATCTTAGATTTTTAAATAAAATGCAAGAAATTAAAGCAAAGATTTGGAATCTCTGCAGCTGATGACTCCTGTCTAAGGGCTCAGTTTCCACTTGCCTACTCAGCCACGTTCTCTCTGGTGCGGGAAATTGGCCAGGCCCTGGAACTTCCACTGCCATCACTACAGCCTTGACCTGTGCGTCTGTCCCGCGCTGGGCCTCATCTGCCACCGATGCCACCTACCTCTGCTGCTGCTCTGATTCTGGGGGTCAAACCGATGATGGAGAGTGGCTGCTGGTCTCTGTTGTAATGTTGTACCTGCATTTACCACTGTCTCTGGCAGTTCATTCCAGATATGCACCGCACTCTGTGTGGAAAAAGGTTTCCCTCGGGTCCCTTTTAAATTTTTCTTCCCTCAACTTAAGCCTGTGCCCTCGAGTTTTGAACTCCCCTACCCTGGGGAAAAGACCTTTACTATTCCCCTTATCCATGCCCCTCATGATTTTATAAACCTCTATAAGGTCACCCCTCAACCTTCTACGCTCCAGGGAGGAAAAACGGTCACAGCCTCTCCTTGTAACTCAAACCCTCCATTTCCGACAACGTCCTGGTAAATCTTTTCTGCACTTTTTCCAACTTAATAACACTCTTCCTATAGCAAAGTGACCAGAACTGTACGCAGTTCTCCAAAAATGGCCTGGACCAAGGGTTTATAGGGCTGGTGAAGATTGCAGGGAAGCCAGTGTGGGATGGGGGTGCCCGGAGGTACTTGAATACACAAATGATCATATTAACTTAAAAAAAGTTAATAGAATTAGACCCAGTGCACATCATTGAGCACAGGGATGATGGATGAATGACATGTCTGAAAATTAGAATGTGGTCATCAAAGATTTGGCTAAGTTTACTGAGGCTGGGTGAATGGAGGATTGACAGGACAGCATTGGAATAATTGAGTCTAGACGGAACAAAGTACTGGTAAGAATTTGCACTTGGGGGCTCAGGTAGACCAAAGTGGAGTTAGGCTGTCCTAATGGTAGAGAGGATATGAGACCAAACCATCCAGTTCAGCTTCAGGCAGGAGTCTTCAACCATTTCTTGGTAACTGGATGAGAGAATGGCAGATACAGTTTAATGTTGATATACAGATTCTAATTCAGCGTGTAATAGATAAATGCCATCAAGCACAATATTTGACTGCAGTGAAAATAAACAATTAAGGTGCTGGTTTTCAGAGAGATTGATGGCCAGTGTAAGGAAATTGAATAATGTGCAATTCTGGGCATGTAGTCACATGGAAAGGATTGCTAAAAAGGGAAATCAACATCTTCTTATGGTGCTGTGTAAATTGTATTCCTGTTCTGAGTTTGTTTCTTGTGCGTCAGTCCTGACGAATGCAAGAGGAGAAGCTTTGTCTCTCTTAGGCTACATTTTGTACCTCTAAGTACTCTTTTAGAAGAAAGATCTTTTAACAAAGGTGTTTTCAAGAACTAGTTATTTTTCAAGTTGTGATGGTGTAAGTTGGGTCTGTATTCCTTGTAAAAGCAAAATGTTGTGGGGACCTGGTCAAAAGATTTGATTAAGGTGAGCTGGGTAATATTTTGCTCGACTGAAGAGTTTAAAAGCCAGAGAAGGTGACATTGAAAAGTAGGAAGTTCAGAGTGTGAAGAGCAGCTGGAGTAGGGCTGTGAAATGGCAATAATGGGCCTGAGAAAGTCCCAGGAACGAATGCTACAGTGGCCTGCAGGAGAAAGGAAGTATACAGGTCTTTAGCGATCTTACAAAGCATAGAGGTTTTTACATTTTACTTCTTGTTGCTAAAACATTGGAGAAAAGGGGAGAGATGGATTCTGGGAAAGTTATTAGGCACATCTAAAGTAGGGACGTGAAGGGATTAGGGCTGAAGGTCAGTGTTAATATGATAGAAATCAGCAGATAGTGGTTCTAAATAAAGGCAAAATGAAGAAAGAATTTGTCTTTATATATGCCTCTGAAGGCAATTAGTTACTTTTGAACTGTGGCTGACTTTGTAATATAGGAAATGCAATAGCTGACTTGCACATAGCACGATCTTATAGTCATTATCATACTGATTTTTGCATTGTCTACTTTTCCATACCTGTTAAGGTAAAATTATCCAGGACATTATCCCCAATCTCTCTGCTTTTTATGCTGTTTTAGCTCCAACACACAGGGCAGATGAGGCCTCTGTTTAGCATCTCGTCAAAAAGGCTACTCCTCTGACAGTGCAGCGCTCTGTTGATCATGGAATCCCTACAGAATGGAAGCAGGCCATTCAGCCCATTGAGTCCACACAGACCCTCCAAAGAACATCCCATCTAGACCCATCCCTCTTAGCATGGCCAATCCACCTAACCTGCACATCTTTGGACTGTGGGAAGAAACAAGAGCACCCAGAGGAAACCCAAGCAGACACAGGGAGAATGTGCAGACTCCACACAGACAGTAGCTTGAGGGTGAAATTGAGGTCGGGTCCCTGGTGCTGTGAGGCAGTAGTGCTAACCACTGAGCCACCATGCTGCCCCCTGGCATTTGGAATTAAAACAAAAAAAATCATGAAAAATGAACGCCACTGGCTACATCTGTTAACTATCATCTGTTGAGCTGATTTTTGAACTGCTGCAGTCTGCAAGGTGCAGGGACAGCCACAGTGGGTTCGGAGATGCATTCCAGGGTTTTGACCGAGAGCCAGTGAAGGAATGGCATTGGAGTTCCTAGTCAGGATGTTGTGACTTGAAGGGAAACCTTTAGATAGTGAGGGTGTTTCCAGGTATCTCCTCTTGTCCCCTGAGGTAATAGAGATCATAGGCTTGGGAGATATGTTACTCCTCATTGGGGAGTGTGTTGGAAATCAAATCCTACTATTTCTGGAGTCAGCATAAAACTTAAAAGATTTTAGAAAAATACACTAAATTCCCAATTTACTTGCCTTTTGAACCCAGGGCAACAGAAAGCATCAACCAGGTTTCTGTACTTAATGAAAGTTGTTATTTATTATAAATAAAGACATTCTGGCTCCAGGTAAACGGCTATGAACCATTGGCATGTAACTCTAGTGGTTAAAGCTCTTCCTATACACACGTACAGACAGAAAAAAAATCATTGGTGTTCTGGATAGAGGGAAAGACTGGGAAGGCAGTTTAGTGGACCTTGTCCCCACGACTGAGGTGATCCCTTTGGCTTGTCAGGACATTACTTCTTGAGCTGCCATTTCCAGATATTTTCACTCACTTGCAAGAGGCGGCACAAACTGGTTCAGACCTTAGAAAGTCTGAGTTTATCAGTAAAGTGTTGGAAGTTGTCATCAGCAGTGCTATCAAGTAACACCTGCTCAGTGATGTCCGGTTTGGGTTCTACCAGGGCCACTCAGCTCCTGATCTCATTACAGCCTTGGTTCAAACATAGACAGAAGAGCTGAATTCCAGAGGCGAGTGTGACAGCCCTTGACATGAATGTCGCATTTGACCGAGTGTGACACCAAGAAGACCTAACAAATCCATGGGAGTCAAGAGCAAACTCGCCGCTAGTTGGAGTCATACCTGGCACATAGGAAGATGGTTGCGGTTGTTGAAGGTCAGTCATCTCAGCTCCAGCATATCTCTGCAGGAGATAATGGGTTGTGTCCTAGGCCCAACCATCTTCAGCTGCTTCATCAATGACCTTCCCTCCATTATAAGGTCAGAAGTGGGGATGTCCACTGATTGCACAATGTTCAGCACCATCCGTGACTCCTCCGATACTGAAGCAGTCCATGCTCAAAAGATCTGGATGGTATCCAGGCCTGGGATGACAAGTGGCAAGTACCATTTGTGCCACACAAATGCCAGGCAATAAGAGGCAATCTAACCACTACCTCTTAACATACAAAGGTGTTACCATTACTGAACCTCCCACAATTAACATCCTGGGGGTTACCATTGAACAGAAACTTAACTGAACTTGCTACATGAACACAGTGGCTACAAGAGCAGATCAGAGATTAGGAATACTGTGGTGAGTAACTCAACTTCTGACTCTCCAAAGCCTGTCCACCGTCTACAAGCCACAAGTCAGGAGTGTGATGGAATACTCCCCACTTGCCTGGATGGGTGCAGCTTCAACAACACTCGAGAAGCTTGACACCATCCAGGACAAAGCAGCCGCTTGATTCGAACCACATCTGCAAGCATCCACTCCCTCCACCACCAATGGTTAGCTGTAGCAGTGCGTACTATCCATAAGATGCACTGCAGAAATTTACCGAAGTTCCTCAGACAGCACCACCCAAACCCACGGCCACTTCCATCTAGAAGGACAAGGGCAGCAGATACATGGGAATACCAAAAACTACAAAACCCCTTCAAGCCACGCACCACCCTGATTTGGGAATGTATCACCATTCCTTCGCTGTCGCTGGGTCAAAATCCTGGAATTCCCTCCCTAATGGCATTGTGGGTCAACCTATAGCACATGGACTGCAGCGGTTCAAGAAGGCACCTCATCATTACCATCTCGAGGGGTACTAGGGATTGGCAGTAAATGCTGGCCCAGCTGGTGATGCCCATGTCACATGAATGAAGGAAGAAAAGCTTACCGGTTAAGCAGCCACAGCTTAAAGAATCTGATGAGGCAAAATCAGAGAGTCTTTCTTCAGGATTGAAATTCTTTCTTTTTTACTGCAGAGAAACTACAGCTCCTTCCTTCTTGGACAGCCAATGTATTCTCCCCAAACATTCATGCCCACCAGCTTTTCCGTTACTTGGGAACCAATCACACTGTTGATAGACAGAAAGCCTTTGTCATTGATGAGTGCACTGACCATTCAGCTACCTGTTGCTGGCTGAATCTTTATTTCTACACAGACCCCTAGCTCTAGCTCGTCTGTTGCTAGACTTACCCCCGACTGCTAGAACAAGCAGCTATGTAAACAGCACTTGCAATAAGCATCAGGTAACTTGCTTTTAATCAGTGCAGTAATTCTTCAATAAACCTTGGTTTGGAGAACACACCTTTTCCCATTTCAGTCCACAATCAAAAATACAGAAAAAATAATAAGACACTTTTTATAGGTGCTGTCAAAGGAGTGTTGGTGAGTTGCTGCAGTGTACCATGGTCCACATTGGTGGCACTGTGTATCAGTAATGGAGGGAGTGAATGTTAAAGATGGTGGATAGGGTACCAGTCAAGCGGGCTGCTTTGGCCTGGATAGTGTTGAATTTTTGAGTGTTTTTGAGTGTTGTTGGAGCTGCAGTAATCCAGGCAAGTGGGGAGTATTCTATCATATTCCTGACTTGTGGCTTGTAGACGGTGGACAGGCTTTGGGGAGACCGGTGAGTTAATCACCATAGAATACCTGGTTTCTGATTTGCTTCTGTAGCTACGCTATTGAAGTCAGAGTGTCGGGTTGGATTTTGACTTGTTTGTGTCAAACTAGTGTCTGCGCAAGGGGTCAGGGCATGGATAGGGTGAAAAGTCACCGTCTTTATCCCAGGACAGGGGGGAGTCCAAAACTAGAGGGCATGGGTTTAAGGTGAGAGAGAAAGATTTAAAAGGGATCTAAGGGCTAATGTTTTCACGCAGAGGTTGGTGTGTGTATGAAATGAGCTGCCAGAGGAAGTGGTGGAGGCTGGTACAATTACAACATTTAAAAGGCATCTGAATGGGTACGTGAACAGGAAGGGTTTAGAGGGATATGGACCAAATGCTGGCAAGTGGGACTCGATTTATTTAGGCTACCTGGTCAGTATGGACCAGTTGGACCGAAGGGTTTGTTTCCATGCTGTACTTCTCTCTGACTCTATGTCCTGTTTGCAATCTCCAATCTCATTCTGTTTTCAACTTGTTCTGTTTTTCTCCTGCCACCTCCAGGACGTTTATCCACACGGAGGTTAAAGATGGAGTCCCTTCGAAGTTGGCGGACTCTCTGAGATGGTCGGTGGGAGCACGCAACTGGATGCACTGGCGAATGCGCGACGACCCGAGCCTCCCCGCTTCCAGCACTGTCCGCCTGACCAGCCCACCCACTTCCGCCCATTCCGCAACCGAGAGCAAGAGATTGTGAACCGGACCCTCCGCTTCCTGGACGAGAGTGGATTTTATTGGGGCCCGCTTACCGTGGCTCAGGCTCATGCCATGCTGACAATGGAACCAGTGGGCACTTTCCTCGTTCGGGACAGCTCTCGGGCCAACCACTTATTCAGCCTGAGCGTCCGTGCTGAGAATGGACCGGTCAGCATGCGGATCTTGTTTGAGAAGGAACACTTCTGGTTCAACGGTGCCAGCTTTGACTGTATTCTGAAACTCCTGGAGTACTGTGTGGACAGCACCCAGATAAAGCCCTTCAGGTTTGACTGCGGGGTCTCGGTGGTCTTTTCCAAACCCTTACGGAAAAACCCCATCCCGAATCTAAAGCAGTTGTGCAGGAAGAACATAATCGGCCATTTTGGCATTGAAAGCGTGCGGAAACTTCCCTTAGTGCCCCGGCTCCAGGAGTACATGGAGGAATTTCCGTTCAAACTGTAACCGAGGAATCGCTGAAGTTTTCTGTTTGGTTTCGTGAAGTCCAGGTTTGGAATTGATCACTGGTGGCAATTGAGAGTTTTGGGGGAAGGAGTGCATTCACGTGCAGCAAGGAGCACAGGGCCTCCTGAGGATACCACAAACGCCCTTCCGGTTCCTGTGTTCCCTCTGCCCTGGCGATGTGACCCAGACGTAGGCTGGGCTGTCGAAGGCGTGTCGTTGACTAGTGGATGTATACGGGCACTGTGCAGTCCAGGAAGGGCCCATGCCCAGAGCCAAGCAAGCTCACCAGCACTTACTGCCTGAGCACGGAGGCTGGGAAAAGACAGATATTTTTCAGTCAACCATTTCTGAAGGATGTGTAGACATCATTTTCATTCTTTCAAAGAAGACTGTGTGTTTGGTTCCATTTGAAGCCAGCAGGGAGGATTATTTAGTTGTGCAAAAGCATTACAGTCTGCAGAATGAATTATTTTTGTCAGATTTTTTTATTTTATATATTCATATCTATATTTTAATATGTAACTATAAAAAAAATTGAACTGGTTGGAATGTGGTACAGAAGGAGATACTGTTCAGAACTGAGTTGGTAAAGCCCCACTGATCTTGTAGATATTTTCCTATCAGCCTGTTCTTAGATGTCATGACACAGCTCTGGGGCAGGTGGAATTTGAGCCCTGGCCTCCTGGCTTAGAGGTAGGGACACTACTACTGCACCACACAAGAGTCCCCAATTCCATCAGCTACTGTGTTGGGATTTGAAACCATGCCTCCAGGGTATCAGTGTGAGATTTAGAATTGTTTGACTGGTGATGCCACCACTACTGTACTGTTGCCTGACCCATTCCCCCATTAGGGCACCACAGTGGCTCATATGTGCTTCATCGTGCCAGGGACCCAAGTTTGATTCCACCTTCGGGCGACTGTGCAAATTCCACACAGACATTCTCCCTCTATCTGCGTGGGTTTCCTCTGACGGCTCCGGTTACCTCCCACAGTCCAAAGATTTGCAGTTTAGGTGGATTGGCCTTGCGCATAGTGTCCAGGGATGTGCAAGCTAGGTTGATAAGCCATGGGAAACTTGATTAGGGGCATGGGTCGGTGTGGGATACTCTGTGGAGGGTTGGTGTGGACTCGATGGACCAAACAGCCTGCTTCAACACTGTATTGATCTTGTATTATGAGTGTTGCAGGCATCTTTCAGGGAGCAGGGAGGCCAAACTATGTCAGGGGTGAATTGGGTCAGCTTCTGATAGGCTGCCCTTGGCTAAAAATCCCACCCGCACTCACTACCCAATCTGTTACACAAAGAAGGGTGGCCTGGATAAGCAAGGTAACTCCCCTCTTGCCTTGTCTTGCTATCCCAATACCTATGGAAAAACCTCTTAGCATAAATCTGCATTTTTTGACAATGGGAAAGCAAGAACCGACACAAACGTAAATATCATTTGATAAATGAATCTGTCGTTCAGAAAGAATCACCCAATGATCTCTTGATTGTTCTGGTGAAAGTATCTAAATCTGCTCAGGTCACCATGCAGTTCAGTGGACCATCCCTTTGATTGGATTTCAGGCCGAAACTCGCTCTGTGATCGCTGTTATTTGTCAGTACGGAACCATTGATCGATGCCACCTTGTTACTCTATGGTTCCATACTTGTGGTTTGTTTATTCAAGTTTGTCAAACAGCTTAGACTTTTCACAATGAAGCTGACCTTGTTCCACCATCTTGATCCTGAGTGTATATCAAATCCCGCTTAGAATTTAAACAGAAGATTAATCCTAACCTTTGCTGTCTCCAGTTAATATGGTGAGCTCACTTGTAGCCAATCAGCTTTTTGGTACTCAAATTTTTATTTGAAAAGTATTTCTTAATAAAGAAAGGAAATAGTTTTATGAAACAAAATGTTTCTTATTGATTTATTGTGAGTGTTGAGGTTAATAATGGGGGTGCTAGTTCCAATTGCAGTGAATAATGACAGCTAGTTAGCTTCTGATGGTCTAGATCATGTGATGCTCTGGGAGCCTATCATTTGGGACTCATATGATCAATGGATGACTTGACTGATGTCCCATGGATGTTAGAGTTGCCCCTTTAACCCAGTTCTGAATGCAGATAGGAGGAAAAGTTAGGTTTGGTGTCCAATATCTACTGGGTGAGAGGAACTTGTCACTTCCACATTGGTTCAATTCAACCCCAATCAGACCTCTCTTAGATAAAGAAAATCAAGTCATTTCTACACTTTGCACTCCCGGGACAGACTGTTGAAAAACTGCCTTGCTCCTGAGTAGGTGACAAAACTGAGAGAGAATGATTGGTATCTATTGGGTTATGGGGTAGCCTCCAGGCAATCAGGTATGATTGACAGACAATGGCTTTGCCAGAGAGGCTCACGTTCCACCAAAGAATAAAAGAATAGCTTGAGAGTTCTCTCCGACGTGTGCTTTGATACTGTAGAAAATTCATATTGTAGTCTCAAGGCATTGCTGTTTTTGCAACAGGGTTAAGAATTTGATGTATTTGAAAAGGGCAGTGTCTGGCTTACATAGTGGTTCCTCCTTCCTTTTTGTTTTGTCACTTCTTGTTGTGTTGAATATTGAACTTGCACACATTCATAACAGATCAGATGCAATTTCAAAATTCCCTCTATCGTCCAGTAACTCTGGCCACTGATGAATGCTTTCCTGAAGATTTCGTTCTCCATGTTCAGCAACCATGTGCTCTTTCTGAATCAATATGCATCAAGAAAAACTGCACTCAACTTTGCTCCCAAGTGTCATCAGTCAGTGAGCATCAGACTCCATGATGCTTGGGCGCCATAATGACTATTGATGAGCCGTGAGAAAATATATCTATCTACTCAGTATCAATAGGGCTAGATCTCAGGATTCTCATCTCACCATGCCCCCCTCTGCTTGTCAAAGTTGTCCAAATTTTCTTGAACAAATGAGGCCCCATCCGTTAGTTTTGGTCTAAGCTAGCTTCAATAATATTCGGAGATGAGATGTTCATACTGACCTGGGTACTTTTGAGGAGGTGAAATTTAGTTAAGATTAACCCTATAAGTTAGATTTTTTTTTTAATTGGTTCATGGGATGTGGGTGATGCTGACTTGTCCATCCCTAATGAGTCAACTGCATTGTGATGGGTCTGGAGTCTCCTATAGGCCAGACCAGGTAAGGACAGCAGATTCCCCTTGTTGAAGGCATTAGTGAACCAGACTGATTTTTACAACACTTGAGAGTGGTACATGATGGTTAGCTTTTCATTCCAATTTTATTGAAATTAAATTTCACCATCTGCCATGTGGGATTTGAATCCATGTCCCCAGAACATTAGCTGAGGGCTCTGGATCACTAATCCAGTGATGTTACCATAATGCAACATGCCACAATAGGGATGTGAGAAAGAAACAGACAGGACAGACAGCATAGATCTTAGCTATTGCCTAGTTTAAACCACTTTCTAGTTCTGAGGAAGGGTCACTCTGATTTCTCTCCATAGATGCTGTTAGACCTGCTGAGCTTATCTGGCTACTTCTGTTTTTGTAACTTGCCAGTGCAGATTGACTATGCTTTTGCAGGAAGGAGATTAGAGGTAGTAAAAGCGTAGGCCAGGGATGACAGGAAAGTTTCGCTGTCATTCATTGAGTGCACAACCGAGTGGATGAATGACCCTAAAATGGTAAGAATCTTACAGCGAAGAGGGAGCCCATTCAGACCATTGTGTCTGTGTCTGCGTCTGCAAGAGAGCTGGCCACTTATTCTCATTCTCCCACCTTTTTTCTCAACTTGTCAATTTCTTTTATTCTTCAAGCATCCACTTTCAAGTATCCACCTCCACTTTGAAAGCTGTTTTGGGCCCTACTTCCACCAGTATTGCTGACCAGCATTTGCATCTGAACAACCGTATCCATTGGAAAGCCAATTTCCTCCCCCAACCCCAATTCTTTTGATGATGTGGAACTGTACGCTCCACTTCCCAGAACACTTGCACCCAAATTTTCTGAACAGATCCTGACTTGATGCAGGTCAAAACTATACATGTTTATGAATGGGAGTAACTCTATTACCTTGCCCCCTTGATGCCACATTAGACCTGAACTGTCATGTTGCACGACAAATTCCAGAAAAGACACTACGAATCTCATGTAAACCAGACACTGCTGTTCAAAAACAGAATCAAATATTTTAACATGGTGATTTTGTTTGATACATGTTTGTAATTCATTACAAATCAAGTTTCCCTTTGCACCAAGTGCAACTTAGCTGCTCTGTTTTATTGTATCATTTGACACATGTACAGAATATTTATTTGTGAATAAAGATATTTGTCTTAATGCGGCCTTGTGTCTTTGGTTTGTTTCGGGGCTTTCCTGGATGGTGTAATGATGAATAGTTGGCAGCGGAAGGATTTTGTGAAGCAGATTGTTGAGTGGGTATCTTTTGTAGAAAAAAAAGTGTTTTGCTTCACCGATTCCATAGAGCCCTTGGAATAAAGGACTCTGGGATGGCAATGAGTGAATATTTTGCAGGAACCTTGCTCCTCTTTAAGCAGAAGCTTGCACTGATTTGGAAGACTGCTTTACCTTACGTTCATCTCGCATGTATACATTCAGATCAAAACCCTTTTGGAGCTAGTTTCTCTTAGTGGGGAAACACCATCACTTGTTGGGTTAGAAAGTCTGGGTTTAAACCCCCACCTGAGTGGGTGGATTGTTCATCATCTTTGCCTGGTTTTAATGGAATAACTGTGAACTCAAAATATGGTGGACACCCTGTTGACATGGCTTTGAGGCCTGCACAATTTTGCAAGTAGCTTATTGTCAACGTGACTTGCTTCAGGTGACTGAAACCTTTTGAATATGGAAATTGGGGTTCTCTCACATACAGGGAAATATCACTGGGCTAAGAAACAGAAGCTTTGGGAGTTTGTTCAAATCCTGCCCTGACAGTTGGTGGAACTTAAATTCTTTTAGTAGAATCTGGAATTGAAAACTGATCTCATTAAGGTGAACATGACTCCTATCATCCACTGTAAAAACCCATCTGATTCACGGATACCCTTTAAGGAAGGAAGTCTACTGAGCTGGTCTGGCCTCCATGTGACTCCAGACCCACAGTGCTCAATTGCTGAGCAAATATTCCGAATGAAGGCAACAGGGAATGGGTAACAAATGCTGTCCTTTGTCAGTGACCCACACGTCCTGTGGAAAAATAAATTTTAAAAACCGGAACCCGAGTGCCATTTTGGATCGAAGTGAAGGGAGATGGAACTGAGGAGTAATCTTGGCAATATTTGGGCCAGTGTTAACCAGGTCATCCCTCATCCCAACTTTGAGGGTTTAATGAGGCCTTAATTTGGCTAGCTCTCATTCGGCTCCTGACCTGTCAAATTTAAATGAGGCCAGGAACCTCAAATTTGTGAGGACCTCAGAATGATGCAGACCACTTTGCTGTCTGGTAATGGGTAGCTGTCCCGTTCTGGTCACTGATCAGAAGTCGAGACCACCACTTTGTCTAGATGATGTGTTGAGTACAGGCAGTCCGTGCGGTATTGACATAGGGTAGCATTGCCTTTCAATTGCAATGTGTGATCGACCCTTGGTTTTTTTGTTTAGCTGGAGGTAAAAAGCGATTGGCACTATTCATAGAGAAGCCAGGGATTAACCTCCTCTGTGACCTCGGTAACATTCATCATTTAACCAATTATTGAATGCAGCTTTCAATCATTGATTTATGTCACTGTAGTCCATGGCTCATTGCCTTGTGCAACTTGTTTGACACATTTCCCTTCAGTGCAACATTGATAACACTTTCAGAAGTGTTTCAAGACCATAAGAAGCAGAAGTAGAAGTACGCCATTAAGCCCATTGGGTCTGCTGTTACCAGACAGAGATCATAACTGATCTGAAAATCCTCAACTCTACTTTCCTACCTTTTCCCCACAACATTTGATTCCCTCGCTGTTTAAAAATCTGTCTCAGCCTTGCATGTACTCGATGACCCTGCCTCAACAGCCCTCTACAATAAAGAATTCCATCAATTCAGTCTCCTCTAAGGGAAGAAATTCCTCCTTTAAATAGGCAACGCTTTATTCTGAGATTATGGCCTCTGGTCATAGACTGTTGCACAAGGGGAAACCAGTGTTGTACATTGAAGTGCTTTGGGATGCTACAAAGTTGTGAAAGGACCTGTATGAATACACATCCTTCCATAGCGCTTGAGGTGTATCACCATAAAATCCATACAATATAGAATCAGGCTATTCAGCCTATCGAGTCCGTACTGACCCTCTGCAGGACATTCCCATCCTGACCCAACCCCTATCCTAACCCTGCAACCCCATGGCTGATCCTCCTAGCCTGCACAGTTTTGGCCTATGGGAGGAAACTGGAGCACCCAGAAGAAACCCACGCAGATGGACAATGTGCAAAATCCACACAGACAGTCGCCAGAGGGTGGAATTGAACGTGGGTCCCTGGCGCTGTGAGGCAGCAGTGCTAACCACAGAGTCATCGTGCCGCCCTTCAGTTATATTGCAATCCAGCATGAGAAAAGACAGCCACAAATCTGAAATAGATATTGAGAGAAAAGTATATTTTGATACATAGAGCAGATGCAGCTGTATTTAAGAATAAAGTTCTGTTCAAGTGTTCTGGAAATGCATTCCGCGACTAAGAAAGTCATCCATGCCCCAGGCAGTGCCAGTGAGGAGACTTCAAACTATTGTAAGCTTGCAGCAGCTTCAGGTAAGTGGCTAAAGAGGACAGGAATTGGGAGGAAGGTGATTGGGACAAGTGGACCAAGGGTTTGAGGCAGTGGATTGAGGGATGGGGACAGAGGAGAGGAGAGGAGTGGAGGGCTGGAACGACAGGGGTAGGGAGAGTGATCAGTCCAGCTGGTCAAGGCAGTAAAGCTTCCCAGCAATGGGAAGAAGATGGCTTTGCTAACCAATGGGACTGGGAAGGGGTGGTTCAAAGCTTTGATTGAGTGCGGCAGTCAAATGAATGATATGGAAGGATGAGTAGAAGGTAGCAGCACCCTCTGAATGCTCCTCTTTCCATTTTCACATTTGCATAAGGTTTTTCCTTATTTTGGATCAAATTATTTGATTGGGCAGCACAGTTGCTCGATGATTATCACTGCTGCCTCACAGCGCCAGGGACTTGGGTTCAATTGCACACTCGGGCAACTGCCTGTGTGGAGTTTGCATGTTCTCCCCGTGTCTGTGTGGGTTTCCTCCCACAGTCCAAAGATGTGCATGTTAGGTGGATTGGCCATGCTAAATTGCTTATAGTGTCCAGGGATGTTTAGGTTGGGTTAGGATCAGTAGAGGTAGGGACACTCTAAGGATTATATATCGACCTGGTGTCTGCAGCAGGAGACCCAGGTTCAAGTCCCAGCTGCTCCAAAGGTGTAATAATTACATCCCCAAATAGAATCCCTACAGTGTGGAAGCAGAAAATTCCGTTCACACCAACCCTTCGAAGGGCATCCCACCCAGACCAACCTGCATAACTCTGTAATTCCCATGGCCAATCCACCTAACCTGCACATCTTTGTGACTGTGGGAGGAAACCTATGCAGGCACGGGGAGAATGTGCATACCCCCACACAGACAGTCGCCTGCGGGTGGAATCGAACCTGGATCCCCACAGCTGTGAGGCAGCAGTGCCACCATGTTGTCCGTGTTGATGATCATTTAGTGATGCTCAAACCCTCACTGAATGATAACAGGCTTCAGTTTGGACCTTTCCACCCTGAGACGGGACAGAATTGTCAGGTGGGGTTTAGGAATGGTGGGTGTGACCCAGGATTCCTGTCTCTGCCCCTGCCCCCATGAATATTCAATTTCCTCAATATTCAGGGAGCGAATCTTTTTTTGAAATTCACTGATTAATGATCTGAAAGGAGGATTTTATGGCTCTTTTTCTAAACAAAATGATTATTTTGAGACTTATTAACTGCTATGTTCTCTTCTATAAGTGGATATTGTTTAGTTATTTTCACGGTTTTATCAGCTTCTCAAAGAATTTGCAATGTTATTAAAGGACCTGTGTGTTCTATATGTGCTGGATACTGGGTGAATGGATGTGGGGGTTGGAAAGTGCATAGGGCGTGGGATAAGCAGGATGCAGGTTTAATGGCCTCTCATTTATTGTCAGATACAGGTCAGTGTCCCAGCGAACTGAGATAAGCCTTTTAACCTGACTTTGACATTACGCCCTTCGATAATCAGTTCAGGCCAATTGCCAAAGAGAGATTTAACCTCTTCTACATTATGTAAGTGGTGTGGCCAGGCTCAGGAGGTGGGATCATGATGTCGGGAAATCTCCTGAATCCCGAATCCTGCCTCCAAGGTGAAAATCTGATCGCTGATATCAGGCAGTCCTAAATACCTTTTGGCTCATTTCCCAGCATTTCCTCTTGGACTGTGGGAATGAACCGGAGCACCCAGAGGAAATCCAAGCAGACACAGGTGTAAAAATATCCTGTACAGCCACAATGTTTTGGCACATCAGTCATGTTAATTACAGCACATTGCCAACATGATTGATACTCACTGACACAAAAAGTTACATTCTCTCACCTGAGTCGCTGTTTAACCACTAGGCCAAACAAGTTGCCCCATCTGAACACCCTCTCCACATCACTCTGTTCCCAATGCCAAATATAGAACTGCAGCTTGCTGTTGTCCAATAGGGGAATGTCAAATACATGCAAGCAATTGAACAAATCCAAACATGAGCTTTTATTTACATCAGCAAAAAGAAACACAAAAGAAACCATTGAGGCTGTATTTCACCTCCACGACGCCAACCAAACGCTGGCATGATGACCAATAACTTTTTTTTATCTACTGTACCCAGCTCCCTTCAATTGGAACCGTGTGTCCATCAGGCTTGTAGCGCCTGATGTAGCTGAGGTCTGTCCCATACAAGGACAGCTTCCTCCTGCCCAGTGTCCTCATTCTCCTCCTCAGATGACTGCTCCTGTTCCCCATTCCCTCAGCACCCAGCATGCCAACCTTGTTGACTGATACAGCAGGTCAGGGCACAGCTCGCCAGGGTGCTGGGGCACACTAGACTGGAAGGCCACTGCCCTCAGACCGGTGCTGGCACTGGAATCACATCTTCAGCAGCCCCATTGTCTGCTGCATCACATCCCTGGTCGAAGCCTGGGCAGCATTGTGCCTACACTTGGTAACAGTCAGCCATGGTGTCATGGGACATGGTTGCAGTGGATAGCCTTTGTCTCCCAGTCACCAGACTTGTAAGGCACCTGGATTCTCAAATACACCAAGCACATGGGACCGCTGCAGGATGTAGGAGTCATG